TATATTATATCTCTACTTTTTTTTATATATGCATGTGTATTTGTATATGCACGTGAAAACGCAAATGAAAAAGAGAAGCTGACACTTAGGGGTCTTGCCTACTGAAAAGAAAATCATCCCAACAGGGATGTGACAGTTTTTAAGCAGAACACAAGTAATTCTTTCTAAAAACGAGTATCTTAAGCTGATGCAGTGAGTTAACTCAAATACTCAGTTGACTCTTACTGCAGTCTGGAAATGGAGTTATGTATATATGCACATACACATGCTGACATCATCGAATGAGTTTTCCACACAAATCGCCTTGAATTTTGCCTCTTATGCTTGTTTAAATTGCAAAGCAAAATGCACGTTTGCTAATGAGGCACACTCTCAAGGGACTGTTGAGCTTTGCCACACGACCACACAGTGAAGAAGTGTTAGAGCAGCGTGGCCTGTGGCACAATCTCATAGCCCCCTGCAAACCACTCTCGCAAAATAAGGCCATATGAGAGAGACAAGGCTGTTCTGCCATGGTAAAGGACCTGCCTATGCTGCCAACGTACCAGCAGCCCACACTACCAGAACACCAGCACTGCTTTCAAAACCCAGTATGACTGCTGTACTTTGGCCAAGCTGCTGTACAAGGAGCAATACCACCCGGGGAGACCGCATATATTTTAACAGTTCCAGAAGATAAATTGGTTGCTCAAAGCATTGGCTGCAGCATTGCCCAAAGTGAACATTGCGCTCTGTAGCAACTTAGGAGAACCTGTTTGGTAGTGCCACTACCGAGCTGAATTTGATGAGGGAACAGCTGGGTTCTGATCCAGGAACTCCTCAGAGCAAGGCATAAGGAGGAAATACCCGGGGAACAGCCTTGCTGAGCTGCCATGACATACCATTACTTCTTAACTTGGAAGCAGCATCAGAAAGGCCCATTCTTGCAGTCAGTCTGCCATTTGATTCACTACCTTAAATATTAAACCCTTAAATCCCACAGCGTATATATTCAGAGTTGCAACATCCAGGCACAACTCAGTGGCCATGGTTAGTTTAGCTTTAGCGGATCTTTAAAGTTTCCATTTTTAACCTCAGTAATAAAGCCTTCTCCTTAATTTGGTTTTGCTTGCAACAGTCTTCCATTACAAGGCTGGTATCTGTTGTGATATTGCTACACTGGATCTATATTCTTCCCTCAAAACGCTCTTCAGCTCCTTACAATTACTACCTAGATCCTTAGAACGGAACTATGCATGTCCATACTGTACAAAATCTGGGATAGTTTCAGTCTCCAAAGAAGCAAAGTACAAGAAATCAGGACAAGCCAAGACATTTTTCTTATCATCAAAACTGGGAGAGCGAGCGTGGAAATGGAGCACTGTAAATGGAAGAAACACTCAAGAGCTACACGGTCAGGAGTGCCTGACTACAACAAGGTCTGCACCCGAAGCCTGCCATTTTCGACCAATTCAGATTCAGGAGAGATTTCACCTGAGCACCGTCCTGGTGCCACACCACCCCTCCTGCGGCATGGGCTCTGCCCCTCATCGCTGGCTCCCAACGCCGGAGAGCCAAATGCAGCCCCATGGGACACGAACAGCTAAGGTCTATTTCTCTGCAGACTCCAACATCGCACAAGGCTGGAGTCTCTCGATGGCTACTGTGAACTCTGTTATGTGGGAATATCTTCTGAAAAACCTGTCAGCCCTTTCCACACACTGAACGAATTGCTAGAGAGGGTGTTGAGATGGCTTAATGGTACACTTAGAGACTCCTAAAGTCCTCTCAAAGACTTGCAGTTCTGCTGCTATGCATACCAGAGTCACTGTGAAGCTGGGCTATTCCTCTGCGCTCTGCAAGGTAACTACCCTGCTTACGCCTTCTTACCTCAGTCCGACTGAAGTCCCGAGTCTGCTGACCACCTGGCAACGACTCAGAATAAGAATCAAATAGTGTGCAGTCACGCATCGGCTTCAAAGAAGCTGCAGGGGGAAGAAAAAAAGGGGGGGCACGTAGAGACACATGCCAAGTCTTTGGTTAATACACAGTTCTTAAAAAACTGTTCCAGCATCATTTTGCCCTTCATTTCTACATACCAGAACTGATCTATAAGCCACAGATGACAAACACCACCATGAAGAAAATCTTTGTCTTGTATTTTGAGTAATTCAATGTCACGAAAGGGATAACATGTTAATTTCTGTTGTAGAAATAATTGTGAAATTTGGGAGAAGTGATTTTTAGTAAACATTAACTGCCAAACAACAATTGTTTATTTGCATTTTTCCTCCTCACAGTCCAGTATCAACTTAGTTGGCCTTCTAGTTTATACCTTGCTGTCCTAGGAATGTTAAAGGTACTTACCAAACCTTCAACTCCAATTTTTGACATTTTGAATACTGAAAAGTATAGTAGAATCTACACTGTACACTAAAATTGAAGGCCAGCAAAAAGCAAGGATGCTAAACACAGCAGATGCTGCAGTACATACCATTATGTATTAACTAAACAGCATTGAGAGCAGGGAGGAGAAAAAAAAAAAAAAAAAAAGGAAAAAAAAACCCCTCCAACTTCTCCCAGGAATATTCACAAAAACCTCATTTCTACTCCACAAGCTCAGGTCCTTCTGCTGATATCACTCTGGAATTAGTTCCCCTGAGATAAATCCATCTTAACAGCTGGAAAACAGCTTTTCTTTAAGATCAATATATTGAAAGGCAGAATAACCAGTTCTCACATCAAATTTCTAGTTTCTGGCTAGCATCTAGTTTATCTGAATAAACTAAGCTCTTGCAAATCTGTTTTAATTTACAATACAGTGGGTTACATACAGGGCAAATAGCTTTACAGATTCTGTAAATTAGTTTTAATAAAAACTTTCAGAAAAGAAGGTGGTGGGTCAAATTGTCAATGGAGCTGTGCCAGAATAGCGTTTGGCCCTGTGCTTGTGGTTTATAGAACAAGCCATAAAACTAGCAAGATTAATTCGTTCTTAAATGCTCTGTCTTACGCTCCAAGTCACTTTATTTGAAGCTTTAACACTCTTATCAGATGCAAATATTTCACTTGAACCAAATTCTGCTTTATTCTGAAACTAATACAACAACCTAATGAAAAACAGTTTCCAGTAATCGTCATTGGGTTCCTAACAAGCCAAAAAAAACCCTCAAACAAACAAACCACCACCAAAGTTTCACAGAAATCAAATTATGAAAACATGAAAACAAGAAGTTTCTCTTGAAAATTTATTTTGACATTTTAGGTAAGTGTATGAGGCACTTGCTTACTTATCAATGCTTTCATTTCAGAAGTTGATACAACCAGGGCTATATGTTTTCTTGCAATTCACAGTGTTACAGTCTGTTGAGATGTTCTGCTTTTTATTAATGCAAGTCTTTCAAAAGACAGATTTCTGAATCCTAACTAGGCAGCAGAACAAGCACAAGACATTTTCAGACCCTCAAGCTAACCAGAATTAGCATATTAGCTGAGGTATTTAGAGTGCTCACAACAAACAATTAGCCCTTTCACCTCTTCCACACGGATCAGCTTGAAATGCTTGGTTGCATGCAACACCATGAAACAATAATCATCTAAGAAAATGGTAAAGACCCCAGTGCTGAAAGGGACAAATTTGGGAAAAAGAGGACTCCCAGGAACAACCACAGCTTACCATGCTCTTCCTCCCATTGACATAATGATCCCCTACTACTAGAGACAGTTACTTCCATTGCAGTTTTACCCAAAAAAACTTAATGTGAAGACACACTAACGAGAACATGCATGGAGGAGCTTACAAGCTAATTTACGATGAGAACAGTCAGAAGAGTAGCAAACAAAGTGGTGGTCCTGGAGGGAAAAGGGTAGTTGTAATTATGACACAGGAATGTAATTAGAGAGACTAAAAGTGATGAAGACTTGGAGGTGCGGGTTTTACAAGAGCTTCTCCCCTTGGATATGAAGATACTGGATTATAACGAACATGACTCCACCAGAAATTACTTCACAAATCTGATACAGGGTGAACATTTAATTTTCCTAACTACAGCTTGATTTGCTCTTTTCCTGTCTTTTAATATATTCAGTGTCATCAAATTTAATGGAGATTTTATGAGGTCTTAAATATCATCCCTTAGCACTGTAATTACCGTCTGTGATTAATTCTCCTTGCCCTAGAAAGACATGCACATTTTTTAGATGGAACAGTATATACTTCAATGTTCATTTATAATTACAAGAGACATAACTGAAGAGAACAAATGAAAGGGCAGGTCTCTCACCGCACATTGTTACCAAGCTATGCTGTATTTTGGATTAATTGATCCTTGTGCTACACAAACTGTTGTAAGCCCCCCGTCATTACTGCAAATTACTTACAGAAGAATCTGTGGATTACATAAAATGAATTACAAAAAAATTCAACCTTTGATACAACCGGTAACTGCATCTAATAAAACACACTAGCATAATAAGTTCTAAAGCAGTCCAGTATCGTTTTCAACGCATCTTCAAGAGACAGATACTTAAGGGAAAAAAACATCAAAAGAGTTAAAAGCCATATAAGTCTTGTTGGATTATCTTTGCTACAGGTAAACATCTGCCACTTTGACTATAATGACACCTGAAGCAAACTGGAGCAAAGAGGAAGACATTAAGAGGCAGGTAACTGCTACACTTTGCATTGCTATTTTCTGCTGTTATACCTTCTTCAGCAATTGCCTTGTAAGCACAATTAAAAACGCATGCATTAAAAAGTAACTGGAGAGCCATTATGCACCGTAGAACCCCATCCTACCTGCAGGATGGAAAATGAAACCTGTCTTACACGCACGCTGGGTTCCCGAGATGGCTACAGGAAGACGACCTGCCGCAGGGACATTACCTGCTTGAAGGTACTCGGGCAGCAGCGTCTCCGGCAGTGTCTCTGGCAGCTGGTAACCATTCTTCCTCGCAACCACGAGGTGGAAAGCGGCACAAAACTCCGGGAGTGTCAGCGCCCCATCGCAATCCACATCGCTCAGCTCCCTGCGGGTACAACAGGCACACGTTTTCCAAGCCATTACCTCAGGGAAACATATGTGTGGAATCATGGGGGAGACAGAAATGCAACTTTGAGAAGGGATATTTTAATACAAGACAAGCATCTCTGTCATTTGCACTTGATCCTAACTTGTACGCTTGTCTTGGAGAAGACGAAGCAAGCTAATTTTCTAATACTGACCTGCCACTTTTTTCTTTTTTAATAACGTACATTTTTTGTAATACATCACACCATACAATATGATGGTATGTTTATATTACAGCACGAAATACATATCCGGTACTTCCAAGGGTGAAATTAACTTTCCAATGGTTGGAAGCACTTTTGGCCAATCCATGCAGGATCTTAAACCAGTTAAAGCAGAAAAAGTTAAGAACAGACTTCAGCAATGGTTACTTAGCACCATTGACTAGCCTCAAGAAAAGAGCTAAATTAATGCTCTTGACAAGTTTAAATGTTATTGTTAACTTCTCACTAAAGCGGTTCTCTCTTTAATTCTAGGATGCTTCTCAAACAGTAAAACTGAATGTCAGAAATTCAAGAATTCAATTTTATAAATTAACTCTTTGCAAGAATTGAGTAATATTTTATCATGAGCACATAGACTAAAACAAATAAACATATAACTTCCTACTCTTTGAAAGTATAAGCATTTTTCAAGCTGTTGAGGTTGTAGTGACAAATACTGAAACATCCCAACACAGCAACACCATCTGATAAATCACATCATCACAAAATTATAATTATTTACTAGAAAGGAATACTTTTCTTTAAATTTTGCACAGAGAACAACTTGTGTCAGCAACAGAAATAAAATGTGTTTTGTTAACATACTGGGTTAACCCATTCTTCTTAAGTAATTTTAAATTTAAATTCCAATCTTAAATTCCCCCAACACTATGTTTTTTCAGGTGTGTTTTTTTATTTTCACAACTGACAATCTGCTTTGAAAAGATTCCAGATATATTCTTTCACCTGACAGATGTTTCGGCTCTTGCAAGCTCTTCTTCTCATCTCTCTTCATAAAAGCATATATAAAAGTAAAACCTCTATCAGCATTTCTGATCAACATTTAAAACTGTTTGTTCTTCCTATCTGAGATGCAAGGATGACTCTGAATTACAAAGCACCATGTTGTTTATGAAAATATAATAGAATCCTTGTCAAATTTTATCATGTACAGTTCCATCTGCAATCGTTTCTAAGTAAGCTCATTAAAAGTAAGTGTACTGGTTCATTAGAAAAGCACTGATGAATTATGTAGTTGTACTTACTAAAAATTAGGCATTAATTAGGCCTCCTCTGACAAAACACAGTCAGAAACAAAAAACCAACAACACATCTAAAACATTCCAGAGGTGCTTCTCCTCTGTGTCATTTCATGAAAAGTGTCAGTTCATTGAGCTAATGATGCTGCTTACAATATACTTAAGAACAGCTCTCAGTTCTATTGCTGTTCAAACCTTCCCAGTCCTGCTTAGTAGGCGAAGATCTCTCCAGAAAACAAGCGTGTCAGGAAGATCAATGAGCACCCTGCTGCTTGGGCCTGAAAGTGATTCTGGAGATAAGAGTAATAATTATAATTGAAGACACTTTTCAAAATTTAACAAGAACTCTTGAATTAAGTGACTTTTAAAAAAACAGGATACACATCCCCAACACTATTACAGTACTTACCAAATGTGAGAAAGCTCTGGGATGGGCAGCTTTGATTTTGTGAAGAAATTCTTTGCCACAGAACCTGTTGGGAAACCACGCTTTATCAACCACTGGAAATTAATTCTCCAATTATTTACATTTGGTCAGGGCTGCTGCAGCAGAAGCAGCTGGTTACTTTACGTCCGAGAGACGTTCAGATTAACTGGATGCTAATATAGCTGTTGGACTATTTGTCTCTTGCTGAATAAGTGACAGAGAAAGCCAGACAGAGCTGTTGACCTCATTTCCCCATTCCCTCCATATAGAAAAAAATAAATAAAGGAAAATACACTTTAGCACTAGTGATTCTAACCAGCATAATTAGTATGTCACCAATGATGAAGTAACAGACACAAATGGCTCTGCTTCACCCAGAAACCATGCGTGTGGCAGTACAGTGCTGTACTGTCTGCACTGCTCTCCCAAGACGCTGCTTCAACCATGACTTTTCCCTGCAGTGGCTCAAATTTTATGAAAAAAAAAAAAGAAAAAACCCAGGAGATTCAGATAGCACAGAGCTACTGTCCTGCTGCAGGCAGTCTCACTAACCCTGCCACAACAACCCTTCTCATTCTTCTCCTAGCTAGTAAATCCATTAATTCACCATCTCATACACAGAGACTATAGAGGTAGCACAAGATCCCTGTACCCTGGAAGCCCTTCCTGGATACAGGCTTACAAAATGTAAGGCAACGTAATGCAGAGACTTCTAAGGTCTATACCACTCTTCCCCTTGCGCATTCAGGTCAGATCACCCGCTGCAGGGCGTAAGAAAAGCTGTAACTGGGGCAGGTCCGAGACACACCTAGCGCAGCACGTCCTCTCCAACGCTGGATGCCAAGAGAGGACTATGTGACCATGACAAAGCCACATGATAATAATGTAGCTCCAGAATATCCCCCAACCTCTGACCACCTACGATTCAGGAACTTTCTCGATCAGGGGTAGCACTTAAATATTCAATAACTTCTGACAGATTTTTCAATCACAGATTTCTCATATAACTTCTTAAACCTGGACAAACCTCTAGCATCTCTATCAAGGATGCTACAAGGATTTCTACAGCTTAATTATTTTAGGATGTTGTGGAAGCTCAAATTTATCATTTATAAACAGTAATTTTGGATATGCAAGGACTGCCTGAGAACCTTGCTCAATATAAAGGCAAATACACAGCTACCTGAAAGGCTGCATATGCATATATACACACATATACAGTTACAGACATATGTAAGTCTGTGAGGAAATACAATGTTGTTGAACTACCATTTTCTCTTTCAAGCAAATTACATGAAGGAAACTTGACAGAGGCAAAGAACTGATGAAGCACTAACTTCTGCCAATAGGAGGTAATTTATTTAAACTTTTGGCTGGACCCAAACCTCCTGAACCACAGTAATACAGCAGGGCTCAGTAAAACCACCTCAATTTAAAACCTGTGACGTCTTCCTTGCCAGACCAACTGTCTGTACCCACAGTGACTCCTCTCACGAGCAGCCTGATTCTCCTATTCTGGACGGAAATGCAATCTCAATACGCTGTTAACAATACTTTTACCATGTGTGTGCTCTCCAGGATTTGCTTTTAATCACCTAAGGGTCAAAATCTCAGCCCCTCAGGCTTGACCACACAGGACAGTTAACTGTATGCTTCACTTTCATCACATGGACGCTGCCACATTTCTGCTGGGAAAGCAAGCACAACCCTAAGGGGTTTTTCAGCTCAATATACACTGCAGGTGTGACTCACAAATATAGTGGATCAAATACAGAGAGCTCATTTTAATTTTCACTGAATCGCCAACACTTCTCGCTTAGATGTAGTTATTCTTCTAAAATCAGGATATTTAGGAAAAAACATAATGGCCACAGTATTGGTTTGCTCTTTGAGTTGTCTGCCTTTAAAAAGAAAACGCAATCAACTCTTTCTCATAAACACACTCCAGAGAGAAAAAAAGAATGAATTTATCTACCTAACACTTCTCACCTCTCAGTCTGGTCCCTCTACTCAACACACAGAGTGTTTGGTAAAAATTACCCGAAATAAAGGAGTTCAGATCAGGCTGCAGGGACCTGAACTGGTTGATGTAGTAGTCTCGCTGCTCCTCCGTTATCCTCCAAGGGTCATCCGAGTAGTGGGTGCTGCTGTCCTGCTGCTCCCGCTCCGCTGAAAGAGACTGAAGGGAGAGACACTGGCACCAGCGCAGGCGAGGGGCCAGAAGGGCGCCAGGAACCTCAAGAAACCACATTCACTCTCTTCTATTAGCAAACATGTATTTTAGAAAGACGAGAAGCAGAAATAGCCACGCTGATTACCGTGCCACTACTTACCTGTCAAAGCTGAGGTTAATATTAGGTATCTTTACCCAGGCAATTAAAGAAGTTTTACATGACCAAAGCTAAAAGAAAAAGGAAATCTTACTACTGCTGACCGCAAAAACGAAAGTCCAAGTCATACCTTATTACCTCTGGATTCGTTTTGGGGGTTCATTTTAGCTGCCATGCATTATAACCCTGAACTGCACACTGTACACCTGAAACAGATGGAACCAGTAAAGGACCTAAAGCTGTATTTATGCAGCACAGTGCATGAAAAACAATTTAGCTTTGCTAAGAAACTATCTATTTAGTCTAGGAGTGGTGCTGTAACTACGGAGCTATACCACTTTTGGACCCTCTGCTCACCCAGGTAACTCGGCACACGTTACGCCAAGCCAGGGTGACACGCAAACCTCTAGAGACCTCCTCAACCTTCTGTCACTTCCCACGGTTTAGGTAAAAATCCTGCTTTGGGAGAAAGAATATTCTGGAGGAGGAGGACATTTTATTCATTGATGTCTTTGCCTTCTGATTGACTTGTTTAAGGGAGGCTCGGTGGTGGTGTCTAGAAGAGGGCTGCTGGTACAATTAGTGCCTTTGTTAAACTGGAATGACTTAGTATTCAAGTTTTAGGCCTGGATGACAACACTCTTAAAGAGGAAGGGCAAGAATGAACAATAAGCAGGCTCCAATCAGCTCCGAAACCCTTTCTCTGACATACCTGTCCATTTCCTAAGAATCAAACGCAAAACGTCGGTTCTGAAATACATCAAAAGATCCCTAAAACAGGCAACATCATAAAGCTGTAAATTAATTTTCAAAGTGCTACACAAATGCACCCAATTTCATTTCAAGTTAGCACAAATTATGTGACACTATCTGTAGATCTTTTCTTGAGGCTCTGGTGACATTTTGTTATGGGCATGGGGTGCTAAACACTCGGGAAAACCTACAGAGTCTCTGAGTCTTACTTATTTAGGAAAAGCTCTCCCTTAGGAGAGTTTTGCCCTTCCTTAGGACAAACTACCTGTTTGCATAATGAATGCACAGCAGGCATACTGGAACATCGGAAAGATCTGCTTTTGCAACCAGCAGGAAAACATAGGACCCATCTCATAAAAGCAAACAAATGTCCAGAAATTCATTTATTCTGTTTGAGATGTGATTTAACCAACTGGGGTGAAAAAACAGAATACGCAGAATATTATGCCATAAATTCTGTGCATGTGTTACAGACGGCATTCTAAATCAAGCAGGAATCTCTGTGAAACCTCACATATTTTAAATGAAAATGTTTTACTTTTGCTAGGATAACCTCAATTTTTTTTTTACTTTTGAACTGAAGATCTCAGTCTAGTTTTCCTATCTATGCTATTTGGTGCTTCTCATTCTACTTAGCTTCAGCAATTTAATTAATTGGATTATTTATTTTAATTTCTCCTTCCCATCAGCTTTTTCTTTTTCTTTTTCATATACTAAAAAAGCACACTTCAGCCTCTAGTCTAAAAACACCATGGAGAACACTTTTTACTTTTGGGTGTTGGGCAGAAAGGCAGAATTCTTCTGCCTTTGTTTTTTTTTTTTCAAATTCCTCTATTGTTTTATTAGTAGTACTACTAAAGAAAAACATGCAATTCATTACCCGATTAAGAGTTGAACAGGCGAGGGCAGGTTTGGCTCCATAATTCCCTGATGACGGTCCTTCTTGCTGGTGAGTAGAGTGTCTGACTTCATAAGGAGCTATGGACATTTAAAATAAAGTATACAAATGAAAGGATAATCAAAAAGATTCTACTAGGCTAAAGGAAATAATTAAATACTGCAAGGTCAAGAATCTAGCTTGTGAACCTAGTATCACAGTATCAAAGTCCATTTTGTCTTCTTCACAAAATTCCAGCCACATATTTGTCTTTCACATTACATCACTCTTCCTGAGACATTACTGATAGAAACTGTCAGTTATATATTATTATATATTACTAGATAACAGAAATCATTGTTCGTCATGTTAAAATATATAATTATATAGCCTGTTTACCTATTTATACATTTTATATACTTATAGCCATATATAGCAAAAGAATGCATTACAAATAAGAAGAAATAATTCAACTGAGCTGCAAAAAAATATGCTTTGACAATGCTATCAAACAGTAAATCGCTAATTTTCCATATACTCTTCTTCCCCCTTCCCTAATTTCTGTTGAAAATCAAAACACAGGACTCACCACTTTGCATTATTTGGAGTAAAGTTAGTAAAAAAAAGTAACAATTACTACTTCTTTTGCTAAAATAAGTCACTTGTATTCCACCGCAGCAAATATAGTAAGCAGTGACATAACAGCACGTTTAAGAACAATGTTTTAAAAATAGGTCAAGTACGCAAACACAAAGGCAACTCACTTGCAAACCCTTACACAGCTGAGAACTTCTGCAGCCAATGTATTTAAAATGTACCACTACAAAGACAGTCTGCATTAGACAGACAGAACTTAAAAGACTCTTGATGAAAAGTGAGACCAAGAAATCTTAAAAATTTTGAGCTGAGCTTAAAAATTATACCCCTAACCCCCTTGCTTTCCTGAGTGGTCTTATCCTGTATTGGTATCTACCTTTATTCCTGTACAAGTAACTTCTAATTTCAGAAAAAAACATGGGAAGGAAGTTGAAGTGGGAAACATACAGACGCCCTTGGAGAGGAGATTTAGGCACAGGGCCACACTGCTGTGTGTTTGCTACCAAGAAAAACTTCTAAAACTATCAAGAAAAAAAAGAGTATATAGTCATGGTTGGAATGCGAAGGGCTGCCCTTGAAGACATGCTGTCCAATTTCAGGGTCAGACTTGCAGTGCAGGACAGCCCACCCAGCTCAGTGCTGCGGCGCTAGCACCTCTTGCACGTACACTAATATGGTGGGCTTCAGACCTACCTTTTCGAATGCTCTTCAGAAAACTGGAAGGTTCCTAATCTTAAAGGCCAGGAAGAACCAGTAGGTCACTGAACCTGGCACTTGGTACAGCACGGGCCATAAAATGTTACCCACTTACTGCCACTGAGAACACGTTTGGCTGAAGTATCCCCAGTGGGACTGAAATAGGAGAGATTCCCTTTCTACAGCATAGGAGAAATTCCCTTTCTGGAAAATAACTATGGTGTTCTACACCTCTAGGATTTTATCACCTTAAAAATTCAAGCAGTTGAATAATTCATTTTAGAAGAAGTTGACAGCTGGATTGGACACTGCTGTCTCTACTCACTCTGCACAGCTGCTGACTCCATGAGAAATTTCACTGAAGTGACGTTTGCAACCAAATTCAGAGGGGGGAAAAAAAACCCAACACCCAAAATACCCCCCTCCATAGCACTGACAGATCTGGGACAGAGTCCCAGAAAACAGCAGAGCACCTGACAGGTAACACCGTCGGCTGCTCCCAATGACTGCCTTCTGCCCGGCTCTTCAGCGTGTGGGCTATCTGCCACATGTCTTCTTCACTGGAGCAGAACACACGTCATACCAGAAGACAACCTCGCTAGTGTTGGTTATTTCAGAAGTCCACGATCACTGTTTTGATCAGTTATGCCAAGGGTGAGGTGGGTAAAAATCCCATCGCTAAACAAACAGCAGTTTACCTAACAGGCAAATGAATGCCTGTGACTCAGTACTGGTATGATTTTCATGTGGAGGCCACTTGATAGGTTGAACACATTCTTATCATGGCTGTAGTGAGTTTCAAAAAATTGTAATAGCTCTGTTTTTTCACTCATTTGTAAACGAGGACAACAGCTAAAGGACTAGCATGCTCCACTCCTCACTCACTGCAAACACACTAACTGAAAGCAGGAGGGATGATGGAGGGATGGTATACACCAATGCCTACTATTGCCACCATCTTGGTCACCAGATGTTGCAATTAGGAGAGCACAGGCAATTTACTATTAACAGGAGCTTGTAAAGCCTTAGTAAAACTGCCTTCTGCCCTGCTACCCCCTTACTAAATTCAGAATGTTTTGCCACCTACTCTAATGGCAGTGAGATCAAGGACAGAGCATCTATGTAGTGCCTTATTTTGGTCTGTTTTGCCTAAGTTACACTGTGGGACTGTTTTTATATTCATGTCCCATTGTTATTTCCATTACGAAACCACAGAGATTATTATCTTTTCCTGCAAAGGAAGGTTCACTACCAATCTGAAAGCTAATATAGCAGCAACTGAAATCAGGAGGGGGCTTTTCTTCCCTCTAATGAAACCAACAGCATCATGCACTCTGAAAATACTCACAAACACTCTGTCACTGGGATATATTGCACATAGTCTTGTCAGAGATCAGGTATCAGCATTTATCTGTGAGCAGTGACACATAAGTCTAACTTTACTAACTAAATTTACCAGAAAGCAAAAAGGATTGAACAATCAAAATAAAATTAGATGATTGAATCGTTTTCCAAAATACAGGTCTAATTAAACGTTAAAATCATTAGGCTGATTGTCAGTTGCATTTGAAATTTGGATGCTTCCGAGAAGAAACAAAAAAGAATTGAATACAGGGTGCACATCCCAGTTTCTATCCTACCTCCATGCTGCTGCTCCAGCCCACTTCTTGATTTACCATATCCATAACTTAAGGGTATTCTCTGGTAAGTAGATGGAGAAGCAGGAGGTGAGCAGACTGGAGACATCGGTGGAGACTTGGGTTCCTATTCCAAAAACACACCAACACAAAATGGAATTCTGAGATGACAGCAGATGACAGTCTACAACCAAGTAATCCTCCATGGCAATCTGAACGCATACAGCATGACAGACAAAGAAAAGGCAAACGCTGTAGTTCCCTGAGGCCCTTTATTTCCAGGAAAAGGCTCCTTAAAAAAAAAACGGAAGTTGGTAAAGACAGAATTTGGTATTGAGCCTTCTAGGCGTAAAGCATGGCAATGCCATAGCAAAGCTTTACAATGAACAGCTTAAGGTATTTTACTTCCAAAAGATGCCTGAAGAAGTATATGTAGAATGCTTAATGTGAGTGGGTATCTTTGAATTTACATAACACATTTAGTTAGAGTGAGTGCATTTTTTGTGGGAGAGCATTTTTCATATAAAATACTTACAAAAAACTAAAATAGATCTCCGAATTGGTATTTTAAGCACTCTGTGGATTGGTAGGTGTTACTGGGTATCTATCCTACAGCGTTCTCTTTACCTTGACTTACAGATTGTTTAAGAAGAGGATGTGATCCTGAAACAGTTCCCTGTGTAAAAAGGAAAATATAACACAACACAGGTAACCTAGATGGAGCCAGGGGTTTGAGGGCAGCGTTCTGCTTCAGTGTCAGTACACACAGGCAGATAGGCATACATGCTATTCTTCCTCATCCTGTTATTCCACCCGTGTATCTTGTCATCAGCTCATTCCTGTTGGTTGACCTCAGGCTGGGAACGCCGTTATTCACGCCAACACACTGTGTGATAAATGTGTGTGCATGTTATGGGAAGATAAAGCGCCTGCCACCAGGCATTTACAAAGTGACCTGATACGGTACCAGAAGAGAAGGTGTCAGGCCAGGGGAAAATTATGAAAATCAAGGTTGCACTGTGAAGCCACTTGTATCTGAATAAGCGCTCTCAACTCTCCTAAACACAGGTAATACAAATCTCCCTTAGACAGCTTTATTAAGTTGACAACTCAGAACAACAGACGCTGGGACGATGTTTCACTGAGGACAAAAGAAAAGCAGATTTCTTCTGGACTACTCCTGGGGGAGACTAGAATGTAAGAAAACCTGGTGGCCTCATCCCACCCAGAAATAGTGCCTCGTGATTCAACACCTCTTCTCCAATTGAATATTTCTGTAGGACTAAGGATCATACTGGCCATGAGAAATCGCTCGCTTTCCTGTTCTGTTTCACAGACAGATTTCTATTTGCTGCTCCTCCCCTAGTCCTCGCCAAGAAACAGCGCTGGGCTAAGTAGGAGGACAACACTGAAAGAACTTACACAGAATATTACAGGGCTGACAGCTTTATACAAGCTTATATAGAGAAATTCCCTTCAGGGATGCAACTGGGATGCATCAAAATCAGAACACAGCCCCGATGAGGATTATTTGCATGCCAGGAGTTCATCTTCTGTCTAGTACTGCAAAACTGAGTAAGTCCACGTGAGTGTAATCATTTACAGGACTGGACCCAAAAGGAGGATGCATAACGACATATGGGCCTGAAGGAGATGGTCTTGTTACCTGTTTGTCCCCTTCATCTGTTCTTTTGTAGGAATTTTTTTCCAAGGATGCATGTGGAACCTGAAATTTAACTCCGTGGAGTTCTGCTGGAGTCCCATAACGTACTTCACTGTCATTCTTCAGCGCCATAAACCGCGGCAGAGGCAATTCTTCATTAAGAGAGAGAAAAATTCAATTGAGACTACAGAACATTAGAAGTACTTTAAGCAGTATCGTCTTGTAAAACCAATTAAAAGTTTATCTATAAAAGAGTACTATTTATATTTTGTAACGTTTATAAGTGTGGAACTCCTGTGATTATTTTATGTCTTAATAAAAATGTGAATGCTACACAAAGCTACATTCACTCGCTTAGTATATAATCTCTCCATGCAGAGAGAAAGAAATAAGCCTTGTGCACATTATTAAAGCAAGCAGCAAACTCATTTCCTGCCTTCAAAACGTTGTCTGTAATGAAAAGAATAGTTTCCCACAGAAACTGTGGGACTGATGAATTAATCAGTCAGGATCACAGTATCCTCAAGGCTGCCATCATAAAAGGAACAAATTAAAAATGGTAGGGTTCAGAGATCATGCCAAGGCCTGGTGAAACGACCGTGTCAAAAGGTCCCATGTTGCTTCTGCTCTGCAGACCAGAAAAGCGACACTTTGTCACTCTTTAAGACGATTCACAATTATTTTGAAGAAACACCATTTATTTTTGTGCACAGTCACCATGAAAGATCAATACAACTAAAATTAACAGAACGCTCAAAACTGAGCAAAGCCATACATCACCTCTGTAATCATTTACACCTACAGCTACTACCAGGAAGAAAAAGAAATCAGAGTTTGGTGCATATTACTCACCCCACTCTAAAGGCACTCATACATTTAAAGAGAAAATGTAATTAATACTGGAAGCGTTTCAGTAACAGTAAGTAAGCAGGATATCAATACAAGGACTGCAAGTACCCTTCTTCACTCAAATTTGTGGATTATTTCCAGATGCTGGACTTGTAAAATATACACAGTAAATCTCAGTTCAGGTTTCCAATTTAGTTTGTTGAGTTTTGTTGTTGGTTGTTTTTTTTTTTTTTCAAATTAACATCCTTAAGAAGGACGGCAATGCAAGAGCGAGCGTACAAGTTGTCTGTAAGGAAAACTGACAGACAAATCCAGGCCGCCCTGCTTCGCCCCTGGTTTAAACTCCCCTGCCAGTGAGGCACTGAACCAAACCGTGGCAGCTGCATCTGATCCCCTCCACTTGGTCGGGAGCTCTGCACCGTGGGAGCTCAGCTCACACAGGTCTGCTTGTGCCCGCCAGCCCGGTTTCCCCCTCCGGGACGGGGCAGACCTGGGAACCCCCTTCCCGTGCCTTGTAACATAGGTGAATTGTACATTTCGTTGCCCTTAGCAGGGACAGCAGAGCAGAAACTGCCCTGGGAGCAGTGACCCGATTGCAAGGCTATGCATAGGTCCTGCCTTCCCTACCTCCTCTCCGATCTCATGGCTGGTTGCATCGCTGCCTTCAGCGGGATGGTGGCAAGCACTCTTGCCCAGAGCACAGCCTCACGACACAGTTCAAACGCCTGGTTGGGATATGGGAGCTAAGGGTTCAAACTGTCCAGGCTCAAGCCCAAGTGAAAATCCACATGTTCTGAAGCCTGAGCCCTGCTGAGGCAGCGCATGCATCACCAAGGCAGAGCACACATCACCAAGGCAAGAACATCGAGTTCCTTCCATTTAGTCGCTATCAAGGTTTCGCAGCTAGAAGGGACCTGCTTTCTCTCTTCGCCACTTGAGTTTGATAAGCCTCTTTTAAGAAGCATTTTTCTCCATCAAAAATGGTACATTTAATATTACTGTCAACTCATTGGGAAGAACAAAGCTGTTTTAAATTACATCTAATACACATTTTCATACCTACTGATAGGAAGCATTATGATTTTGTCACCTTTACCCATTTATTTCAGTGGGATTATTTGCTAAAACAGATGAGTGTTGCAAGCTGCCCTGCACACAGGGACCCCTGACCTACCCACGTCCCCCGCAACAGGCCTCCACTGAAGCAGCTATCAGCTCCCACTCTGCACAGCTATCAAGATTAGAGGCTGAAGGTGAGAGAGAAACGCATCCCTAGCTCTGATCAGCTGTCATTCGTGCCATTCCTTTGGTAATGCCTTTTCCAGAGGGGGATGTCATCTCAGTTTTGCCATACATGTAATTCACTGCAATTTTCTACCAGTCACTTCGAGAATGTAGCATTACCTTCTACTCTTTCTCTGCTCCTCAAAATACAATTGTTTCATAGACACGTTAGAAGAAAAGTGTACCACCACAGAGAGCTGACAAGCATTAAAGAAAGTGAAAAACAAGTGCATAGCGCTGCAAGCAAAATTTGCTGCTTACCATTCTTAATGCTCTCAATCCGTACTGGGAACCCTGACTGCGCTGCCGCAATTAACTTCAAAGCGATATAAAATTGAGCAGGACCAAAATAACCCACGCGCTTGGCTCCACAAACTTCTGTAATCTAAGAGAGAAGAGACACATTGTTGGTTAAATGCATTTCACTCTTCCAGGAATGTAAACACCTCTACGTAAAAAAAGAAAAAATTCTTTAAAAATGCAAAACACTTGTTGTATTTAGAGTTTTCTATTAAACATATTTGTATCAACTCAGGACGTTGCTGTGTGATCGCATTCCGCTTAGTATATATCTGAGATAGGTAGTTATTTATTATCCTTTTCAGAAGCATTGCTGGTTAACATTGCTATCGTAAAACAATTTATGGGTTTATTAAAATCATTTATGGGTTTATTAAAATCATACTACATATGATTTTAATAGCAGGTGAAATGATAAATTAAGTATGCTGTCCAGTAAAACATTTCCATCACAGAAGCTATGGTATTCACAGAAAATTGTACTTAATATTAGTCCTTACAACAACAGTTCAAACAATTACTGTAACTGGAACATAAACGCAACGTAAGAAATACCCCACACACTGCCTGAGCAGAACACTTTTCTTTGTGAAAAATTAACACAGCCTCAGCACTGAAGCTTAATTTCTATATATACTTCACTGTTTGCTGTTTGCTTCACTCAGCCACCTCTATGAAGCAAACAGCTCCATGTTCACACGCTCAGACAACAGCTAAACAAACAGCAGCTATCAGCAGGTTTGAATCACAGGCGCTAATTCTCCCATGCATGAAGCTCCCAGATGTTCACAAACAAACCTCAGCCAGGTGTTGAGGTTAGAACAAAACCCCATTTCCCCCAGATGTAAAGGGAAGCCCCAAATTGTTTTCCTGAAAATACACCTAGATTAGCAATGTCTCCTGGCTGGCGAGGTTCATTGCCTGCATGCAAGACGACAGTAGAGCTGTGCTGGTTCTTCATGGGTAAGTGCTGCTCTCCAGAAAACCCCATCCGTGGATCGCTCCCAAGCTACAACAGCATGACAGAAACTATTCCCATGTCACATGTATAAACAAATAGCACAAACAAATAGTCTATTTTTTCTAATTTATATTACACACACACACACACACACACACATACACACACAGAGTGGCAAAATGTCAGGTGAAAGAGTTACTGAAAAAACAAATGTTTTGGAATGGCAATTCTTAACTAATCAAAGAAAATTATCTTCAAGCGAAGTCTGTCTTCTCTGGATGTGGCTTCTGCTTTGACTGAATGAGCTCTGGCTTCCTTCTCTTCCTGCAAGTTTCAGAGATGCATGGCTTAATTCCTTGATCACAAGATGTATCAAGCAACTTTCTTTTCTCTTAGTGCTTGATGAAAAGAGAGATTGATTCTCTGTATGAGGACAGCTTCAATTAACCAGCAGCATTTGCCATTCCCTTTCCTCTACATCTTTTTTCTGAAGTCACTCTGGCCTTTTTTTTTTTTTTTTTTTTTGTTCCCCCACAGCCCGTCACTGGCCTTACTTCTTTTATTTTCCGATGGGAACGCAGGGCCCTCGGCATGTGCCCAAGACGGATGGTACCGAAGCATGGTTAAAAATGGGAGTGTGCCAGGGAGGAAGGAACAGGCGGAGGGGAACTTCTTGGAGGAGAGCTGCGCCCCGTCCGGGCTGCGGAAAGGAGCCAAGCGCATCGCATTCCCCTCGGCGGATGGCACTGTGCAGACCCCCGTGTTGCAGAGGGCTCCCCACTGCCACAGTGAGCAACGCTGCCCACGGTAGGGTCCCGCTGCACCAGCGGGCCCCCCAACAGCAGCCTACC